AGAGAGGCTGGTGGGCTTGAACCCCTGACCTGCATGCTTGACCAGTGCCAGCAAGGCCCCTCTGCACTGGAGGACTGACCTGGGAAAGGAGCAGTGCCCCTGCTGGAGGACACGGCTTTCTCCTCCGGGAAAGAGTTGCCGTCTTGGAAACCCCCAGGGGCAGTTCTGGGCTGCCCTGTATGTCGCTGTGAGCCAACAAGGACCTGCGGGTGGTGCCCTTCGGTTACTGACCTAAAAAGGCAGGTGGCCTGAGCCACCCAGGGGTTCTGTGGAAGAAAGGCCTGGAGATCGGCTTCCAGGAAGATGCTCCCTGTGGAACATTCTGGAACGTGTGTGAAACCATGAGCTGGACTCAATTAGATGGCGAATGTGTAGACTATGATGTGTAACACATCTGGGGGTGGGGCTGACGGCTCAGAGAAGGGCCGGCACCCTCAAGCGCTGTAGAAACTTGGGGGGGGGGAGGCCGATGTAGGGCGTATGAACTGAGGGACGGGCCCCCCAAATCCAGCATGGTTTTCACTGAACTGCTTGCTCATTGAGGCACCTCCATCTGTAGCAGGGGTTGGGGGTGATAAGTTTTTTTGGGGGGCCATGCTGATGAGAAGTGGGGTGAGGCAGCTCCACCTGCTGAGTGCAGGCCGGGCCCTGCACGGTGTCTGTGACCTCCCAGACTCATTTTGTTTCACCTCACTGACAGTACTCCCCACCCCCGTCCCTGTCCCTTCCTGCCTTCTGCACTGTCCTGGGATCTCAAGTTGATGATTCTGAGCGGGGCGGGGTCCCAGCATGACTGCTCCCCACAGACCTGCCTGCTGTCTTGGGGGAAGTCCAGTTCAGTACTGACCTTCTTGATGAGTTCTGAGAGGAAGCCTCGGGAGAATTTGGCTGGCGGGGGATACTTCACACACACGGGGTGCTTCACTGTCTGCGGGAAAGAGGGCCACACACTGACTGCCATGAAGACCCCCGAGGCAAGCTTCAAGACCCCAAAGTCTCCCGTCCTCCGACCCACAGCACGACGGGGCCAGGCCCTGGGCGACCCTGGACGCTGAGGCTGCTGTAACACGTTAACACTAGCGGGTGGCTGCAAAGGACATGAATTGTCTCAGTTCTGAGTTCCGGACCTTGTCACCCATCCTGGGCATAACTCGGTCCCTTAGCTTGTAGATGGTCCTCAAGGGCTGCCCCTCCCCGAGGTCGTGAGGGCTAGGGCCCACCCCATAGAGGTACGATCTAACAGTCAAGAGGACTGCTCACGGTCTCATGTCTCAAGGCTGTCCGGTCAGTTCTGCCTCATGGCAACAGGTCCAGGGACACAATTCAGGGGGTGACAGCCTCTCGCTACACCACCTCCGCTCCCTCCACAGCTGCATCGACTGGGAGGGGTTTCCAGGGCCCTGTGGACCCTGGGCTGCAGGAGGAGCAGCGTGAACTGCTTCCGAGAGAGAGGAGAGCCCAGCAGGTGGGCAGCTGGCGGGCATGGACCATCAGAAGAATCCCTGTGGTCAGGGCTGCTAATTGCAAGGTCAGAGGTCCAAGCCCAAAGCGTTTGCGAGAGCAAGACGAGACTCTGCTCCCATACGGCGTCCCAGTCTCGGAAACCATGGGGTCGTTCTACTTTGTCCTAGAGGGTTGTTGTGAGTCCGCCATCGAACACAGGGCAGTGACTGGTTGGTGGCCAGGGCGTCCTGGCTGGCCAGCTGAGGTGCTGAAGGACCTGTCTACCACTTGTCTGTTGGCAGGTCCTACGGTGGCAGCCGATGTGTGGCTGAACGTCCAGTAGAAAGCTCAGTCTGGGGCTTCCAGACTCAGAAAGACTAGTCCCTCCAACCATCAGCCACGGCCAACCCTGTGGGTGCTGACCCCTCAAGTCACCTGAGCCAAAGAGCCCCAAACCCACGGCTGTTGAATCGCAGGGACCCTGAGGGCCGAGCAGAACTGCTTCCTGGGGCGTCTGAATCCCACCTTCAGAACCCGGAGGAGGGCAGAGAGGACAGGCAGCACCCC